GAAACAAGTGATCGTTTCCTTACTGATTGTATGTGGGGTTTCAAAGGGTTTTAACTACAGAGGTGCAGGGGGGCCCTGGTGGTCTCCCAGAACCCCCTTCAGGGCCGAGGCCTGGGACTGCTGGTCTCAGAGAAGTGGGCTCTCCAATGCCCCTCACCCAGGTGGAGAGCAGCCTGCACCTGCCACTGGCCCTGCACAGGGTGGGGCAGGACCGAGCTGCTTTTCCTCAAGGGACCACCTCCAGCGCCACCCCAGCCAGGGCTCACCGCCTGCCTCCACCTGGGTCACTCCACAGGTGCTCATCTCTGCCTCGGCGTCTGGACCCCTGCACCCCCTGCCCCGAGGAAGACGCCCCTCCAATGGGAACGGTGGTTCTGCAGAGAGGAGTGGAAAGGAGGGAGACGGGGCAGGGGCTGGTGGGGGAGAGGAGAGGTGGAGGCACGGCCAGGTGGTGAGAGCCCCTCCCACAGGGAGGAAGGGAGGCAGCGGCACCATCGCCCACTGTCACTCACAGGAGCAGGTGGCGCAAGGTGACATTTTCCTGCACAAGCAAGATGCTTGTGGGAGCTCAGGGCTCTCCTGCCTGGGTGTGCCGTGGGCCACTGCAGCTTCCTGGGCTGGAGCTCGGGGACGTGTTGTCACCACCTGGGTGTGGGAGGAAGGAAGCCAGGGGCGATGGGGGACTTTGCCCGTGGCCTCCAAGGCCCCTGCCCCAGCCCCTCTGCCCCCTCCTTTCCCTCAGAGCCGATCCCTCCCTCCCTGAGGGGCTCAGGGCCCACCGGCTCCACCTGCCAGGCTCAGGGACCAGGGGGGACAGCAGGGTCACACTCTGCCAGGGGAGCTCCCAGACTGTTCTCCCACAGCCTCCCTCAGCACGGCCTTCCCAGCGCACAGGCTCGGGCCGCTGCTTAGCGGGTGTGGCCAGAGGAACCAGGGGCTGCCTGCAGACCCAGCCGGCGAGAAAGGGCCACGTTGGGGGTCTGCCAGCACGCGGGGGACTCAGGCGTGGCAGTCTCAGGGCCCACACCTGTCCACCGCAGAGGCCAGAGGGAGAAGTGGGTGGACCCGCGTCCTGGGCTGTGGGTGGCCGTGTCTGCCTGCTCGCAGGCGGCTCCACCCCAGTGTAGGCCGAGCTCCCCCAGCGCCTTCTCCAATATTCCGAAGTGCCTTGGCCTTCAAGCTCAAGGTCACTGACATTGTACCGACGCCCGTGCTGGGCTGCCCCAGAGGACCCTAAGGATGTTCCAGGTATCTGTGGTGTGAGTGTGTGCGCGTGTGTGTGCAGAGTGTGGGGGTGTCTAGTGCCTGAGTCTGTGTTGTGTGAGTGTGTGAGTGAGTGGGGCCAGAGTGTCTGATTGTGCGCATGTGTGACTGTGTGTGTGTGCTATATGGTGTGTGGTGTGTGTATGTGCCTATGTGTGTTTGGTGTGTGTATGTGCGTGTGTGTGTGTGTGTGGTGTGTGTACGTGTGGTGTGTGTACAGTGTCGTGGAGAACACGGATCAGGAGTGTCTGTTGTATTTGTGTCTGCCACTGGGTGTAAGTATGTGTGTGGTGTGTAGGGTGGTGTGGGGGGTGTCTGGTGTGTGTGTATTTGGTGTGTGGCTTGTGTGTGTGGTGTGCATAGTGTGGGGAGTGTCTACTGTGTGTGTGGTGCACATAGTGTGGGAGGAGTAGGGAGTGTCAAGTGTGTGAAAGGTATGTGTTTTGAGTGTTGCCGTCTGTAGTTATAGTGTGAGGGGCGTGGGGTCCATGTTGTGATGTGTTGTGGTGTGTGAGTGTGGCGCTGTAGTTTATAGTGTGAGGGCGTGGGGGTGTCTGAATGTGTTGTATGTGTGTGGGTGTGTGAGTCGTGTGCACTGTAATGTTGTATAGTTGGAGGGGTGGGGTGTCTATGTTGTGTTATGTGGTGGTGGGTGTGAGTTGCGATTAGGTGATATTGAGGGCAAGTGGGTGTCTGATGGTTGTAGTGTGTGGGGGTGTGAGTGTGCGCTGTGGTTGTAGTGGAGCGGGGGTCGATGTGTGTAGTGGTGTGTGGTGTGAGTGTGTGGCGTCCTGAGTGTGTGTAGTGTGAGGGGTGGGTGTCGATGGGTGTATGCTGTGTGTGCGGGTGTGAGGTGTGCTCGAGTCGTTATAGTGTGAGGGCGTGGTGTCTGAGTTGTACGTGGTGGGTGAGTGTGGTGCGTCGTATGTGTAATGTGAGGGGCGGGGGTCTGATGTGTGTGTAGGGTGGTGTGGTGGTGAGTGGGCGTTTGTAGGTGTTAGTGGAGGCGTGGGTGTCGATTGGTGTGTGTTGTGGGGTGTGAGTGTTGCATCGTAGGGTAAGTGGAAGGGCCGTGGGGTGTATGTGTGGAGTGTGTGTGGTGTGTATGTGTTCGCTGTAGTGTGTATAGTGTGAGGGGCGTGGGGGTGTCTGATGTGTGTGTATGTGGTGTGTGGGGTGTGAGTGTGTAAGCATGTATGTGCGGTATGCGCAGTATGCAGTGTGTCTAGTGTGTGAGTGTTTGGTGTGTGTGTGTATGTATGTGTGTGTACGTGTGTGTGTGTGTGTGTGTGTGGTGTGTGCAGTGTCTACAGAGGAGCCTTCAGAGCTATGTCTGGGAAGATCAGAGTGACCCTGACCGTGGGACAACGTGACATCCTGCTGAAGAGCGGACTGGGCGCCATGGTCCCACGGGGTGGGGGTGGGGTCTGAGCAGAGGCCTGTGGCCCCGCAGATGCTTGGAGACCCCGCGGCAGCAGGCCGGGGGTGGGGGAGGACACTGGAGGCAGGCGGAGCCTCTCCGGGCGGTATGAATGTCACACTTGGAGTTTGGCTGGAGAGCCTGTGAGAGACACCCAGGAGGCAGAGTGAAAAAAAAAAAAAAAAAGCCCACCCAAATCCGCGACGGAGCAGGGGAGGGCCTGGGTAGGTCACAGTGACACAGTGCCGCAGAGAACACGGATCAGGAGCAGGGTTCTTGCCTTGGAGAAGGGAGAAATTGCCCCGGACTGAACACCTGAAAGCCTGGGCCTGAATCTTATCGCCAGTATCTGTTGACCACAACCCTGGACTTCATCCATCTCACTACGCTTCGAGCGCTTCGCATTTCCACAAGGAGAGACTAACACTAGCAGGTCAAACCTCAAAAGATGACTTAAAGATGATAATTAAACAAAATAATACGAGTAAAGTGCCTGGTCCCACGCCCGGCGCAAGGCAAGCCCTCATGGAACGTTAGCTACTGTCGCAGGAGAGGAGCACCGGGGAGCACCCCAAAACCTGACAAAAATCTACATACCACCCCAGGAAAGTGCACCGTGCATGTGCACGCCATGCAGGCATGCGCACCGCACAGACACGCACACGCCCAACATTGCATAAAGCTTCCTGGCACCTGCGGGCTCCCTGTGGCCACCCCTGGATTCCATCAAATGTGGTTGGTTGCGGGTTGCAAGTTTTTTTTTTCCAGGGGGTTTTCTTCCGGGGTTTTGGAATTTTGGGGTTGGTTTTCCGGGGATTGTTCGGGGCCGGGGAGTTGACCTTGGGGTTTTTTGGCTTTTTTTTTTCCAGGTTTTTGGGCCTTGAGGCCTTTTCCCGGGGAGTTTTGGCGGTTGGGGCACCGGGGGGTTGGGGGGGCCTCTTGGGGGGCCCGTTCTTCCCTTCCCCGGGCCGGGGGGCCGGGGCAGCAGAGCAGAGGAGAAGCTCCCAACACCATGGAACTAGATCCAGCCACGGACCACGGAAATTTTAATCCTAGCTGGGTAATGTCTTAGGAACACAAACCAACACAACGCAAGTCCATATGCAATCATTTTTAAATTTCATTGAGCTACATTTCGCCATAAAATCCTTCTGTTTTATTTAGAGGCAGGATTTTTTTTCCTAGCTTGTTTCTCCAGCTGTTCAATTTAAATTTGTCCCTTTGTGTAAAACTGTATTTCCCAAACGAAAATCATGCTACACATTTAGAAATAAGATTATTTTTATGGCTTATGAATTTATGTATGAGAAGTTTTACAAGCATACCAAAAAAAAAATAACATTTAGTTTATGTGCATTCCACAAATTGACTTTATTGAAAAGAACAAAATTAGATGAAACTGCAGGGATTCTGGAAAATCCCATCCTCAGATTTGAGAGTTTCCGGTGGGTATATCCGGTGGGCAGAGAGCAGTGGCCCAATACATGTGAGTTTCTCTTACTCCCTCGGTTTCAGAGGACAAAGGGGAAGGAAGGAAGGAAGAAAGGAAGGAAGGAAGGAAGGGAGGGAGGGAGGGAGGGAGGGAAGGAGGAAGAGAGGGAGGGAGGAGCAGGTGATGGTGGAGGTTGACGGGCAGGACGTGATTAGCAGAAGGTGCAAGGTGGTGGCATCTGGTGACCTGGTCTTCTACTCTTTTAGATGTTGGAATTTTTGGGGCTCCCTCTCACCAAGTCTCATGGTAGCTAGTGTACATGGGCATATATTTTTGTTATCCTAGGTGCTCTGGGTGTTTCTGAGGGGAATTTAGGGAGTTTCCAAAGCCATGCCACAGCCTCCTTCTTTCTCTTGGATGTTTTTATCCTCAGACTTTTTAAGCATCACTGAGTGATGGAAACAAGTACCACTGTCAATGAGAAATCTCGTGTGTCCCGTCCTGGTAAGCACCACATTGAAACTTGCAGAAAATCTGGGGAGGGCTGCGGACCGCTCTTTGCAGAACTGCTGCATCACGGATGGCCCAGAGAACATGGTGTTGCTAATCAGACACAGATGACTAAGTACAATGTGATTTCAGTCCTGGGTCTGAATCTGAGATTGAGGATGAACTCCCCTAATACAGTCTGTGAGTCTGTGTCCTGAGTCCTCAGACAATGGTGAGCAATGATTGGCCTCCCATGCTTGAGAAGAGAAATCCTGTCTTAAAGCATCTTTTAATCCCCAGCATAAAACAGAGTTCCTGACACATAGATCCTTTTTCTTTTCTTTTTTTTCTGAAGAGACAGGGTCTCACTATGTTGTCCAGGCTCTACCGAACTCCTGAGCTCAAGCAATCCTTTCACTTTCACCTCCTGGGTAGTTGTCATTAAAAAAAAAATGTATTAATTAAGGGAAGCAGTGATGCTTTAAGTTCTGGTGTCCTGACTTTCAGTCCCAGTGGTCTTATTTAAGATTGCAATACTTGGTTAGCAAGAAAGAAAAAAAAGCAGAGAAACTCTCAGGAAAATCACTGTCTTCAGGCGGGCTCTGTAAGGAGAGACTGGCATGCAACACGCTGATTTTGAGGGAAGGTGCTGGGTCATGACCAGTTTCTTATGGTCTTGATAGAAAATAAATGGGCTGTCCTTTTCCTCCTTGAGAATCCTTTACTGTTGCCCTGTCCAGCTGTGCAAAAAGGACAGCTGTCCCCTTGCCCAGCCGGCTTTGACGTCTGCACACTTAATAGAGTCAGGAGCAATTGTCCTGCTGTACGCCGTCGTGACCCACTGGAGATTTTACTGTGACATCCTCAAGGCCTCATGCTCATCAGAAGGACCCAGTTAAAGGTGTTGTAAGTATTCAACTGTTCACACTGAGTCTAAGCTTTCCATATTGCTAACAGAATAACAGTAACTGGGCAACAGAGCACTGACTGGTTGAACAAAACTGGGAAATGCATTTGGAAGGCGTTTGAATGCTCAGCAGACGTAGGTGCCTGCCGGCTGGTGCACGTGAAAGAAAAAAGACAGCTTTCTTTAATTTCCTTAATGATGTGGCAATAGATGTGCTTTTTCTAGTCAAGAATCAACATAAATCGTTGCCTATAACAACAGGCCAGCCATCAGGATTAATTCTTGGTTACTATGTAGTTAATTCCCTAAATGACAAAAAATACCTATTAGCATGAATATTCAAATGGCGCCACAGGCCATTAAAACTCCATTTGTTCTACAAATAGAGCAGCACTTGATAATTTTGCAACCAGCTACTTTTAAGTAGCATAGATAACAGAAACTTCTAGGTTCTTCAAAGCCAATCTTTTGAGCTCAAAATAAAAGGCAGGATTGTATCCATTTACTGGAAGAGTGGTGCTGGAGGGCTGGGAATTTCAGCTCTGTTTCTTCTTGATTTCTCAGGGCCGTTAGACTTCTGAACTGTATAATAAATTTCAACTTTACGTATAATAAATTTCAACTTTACGGTAGAAGTGAATGGAGTCTGGACCAAACTATTAATATCTGTTTCCTGGGATTTAATCGAGTGGTCACTTGGAGATGGGCTGGGACCACCGGGATGTTTCTCAAACCCCGCCAAGATTTTTATAGCTCTGAAACATGGCTTCTGCCAGCAGAAGCTCCGCGCTGCAGCAGCTTCAAAGAAATTCACTGCCTGCCAGCGAGTTCAGAATGCAAAAAAGACTGAACAAGAAAAATTAAACTTGGAAACCCCTGGTGAAAGGACATAGATTTCCCAAGTGAACCATAAGGCCATAACCATTTGTTTCTTTTCATCTTCCCTCAGACTAATGTAATCAGGTTATTTTGTTCTCAGAGGAGCCTGCCTAGGGAAAGGGGGAAGAAAGAAGAAAGAAGAGGTGCTTAGGCCACCAGAAAATGACCATGGGTTAACCGCAAGGCACTCATCCCCGGGACCCTGGAAGGAGAACGTGCCCCATCTTTTATGGCCAATATGTGGACTAATAAAATGTATGGGACGTTAGCCCTCTCCCTGCCAAGCAATCGTGAAGGTATGCATGAGTATGAAGGAAGGGGCGGTGCCTGCCACTCCTTTCTCAAAGGAGCACAACATCACAATTTAGAATGCGGCCATGGCACCTGCTTCCCCAACTCTAGCAGCCTTTCATCTTCCAAATTGCATGCAAATAAACAGGTGTCTTCTCATAAAGAGCCATACAGGTGTTTCGTGCTGAGATATTTCAAAGGAACCAGCCACATGATCATCGCTATCGTGGAGTGTCTGATACGCCATGCTGCTTCCTAATTGCTGAATCCTGATTGTAGATCTGACTGTCCACACAGGACAGATGAGAAACTGAGGCTAAGAGGAGCGGCTTTCCCCAGTTCAAGAAGATGAGCTGTGTCGGAGCTCCACCCAGTCTGACTCCAAAGACAAGGGGTCTCTTTTCTTGGCAAATATAATCAATCCACTGTCCTGGAAAAAAGAAAATATTAATGATATTATGGAATGGTTATCTGGTTGTTTCTCACTAGGGAAGATGGCATCCATGGGAGTCAGCATCTAACAGGTGAACTGCATGGGTAACATGAGCCTGAAGGATTTGCTGGGAGAGCTCCACCCACCCACTAGATGATTCCCGCTCAGAGTCGTCCAACTCTGTCCAACGGGGAGCCTCGAACCTGTCCACACTACTCCCCATGCAGCTGGCCTGCCCTCCCCAGCCCTGAATTTTTGCCAACGCCACCTCCTTGTCCCCACCACCAGGTGCATCACTAAGTTCTGCCTTCAAAATGCTACACCCTCCACCCTCCACCACTACTTCAGGTTCAGACCCATGGAGCATAGAATTTGATTGTAGAATATGAAATTAAGGATTCAGAGAAGAAAGCACACTTGGAAGCAAATGTGAATATATTTATATTCACTAATGTAGAACAACAAAACTTCCCATCGTCAATGGCACTTAGACATTTTAAATCAGCAATGTTGTTTACAGGGAGATTTGTTTCCATTTATTTTCCCTTGCTTGCTAGGGACTTCTTAAGCTCTCTGTCTGGCCCAGGTCCCAGGAGCTGCTTTTAACCTCACTTTGCTTTGCTGCAGCTCTTCTTCCAGCAGTTCATTCTGATTTCCTGCCCACCTGCTCAAGGACTTCTGACCACAGGGCTCGGTTCTAACCTCGACATGGCTCCACAACCCCAATGACACTAAATGGCATGAGCATTGGAGATACTTTGGAATATTTCTTTGATGATAGCAGAACAGGTGTTTCTCAAACCCTCCACGTTTCTAGACCACAGCCCCTGCCCTCAGACCCTCTTGCCTACACCTGCCCTGCGAGGGTAGATTGAAGGTCTTTCCTATCTCCCAAAGCTTTCAGCACAAAACTATGTGTTTTTACTTCGCCTTGTTTCCAAAAATCACTCACAGGAGCAACTCCTATTTTACAGATACCAGAAGTGAGATTCTCATAGACAGCGGAGCAAAGGTGTCTGCACTTGTATTCAGGGGAACACAGGTTGGGAAGAGGGCCCCAAGTCACAAGTCCTTCTGCTCCTTTCCTTGGTGGCCCCACCCATGTCATCCCTCCCTAATGTGGTGGCACCATCCCTCTCTTCCTTGTTCCCTGTCTCTGGTCCTGCTCAGCTGCAATCCATACCCAGCAGGACAGCCGGATACTCACTCTACCCCAACCCTGCCCCATTCCTCCCCACTCAGACCCTCGAGTGGGTCCATGTCCCTCCATGGCATAGCTCTCCACACTGTCTCTGTCCCAGACACCTGAGGGACAAACCCACAGCAGAGATTCTCACCAAGCCAAGGCCAGAGCCTTGGGGAGGGGAGGAAGGATGTGCACATTTTCCAATGGGAGGAGTGGTCAAATCTCCAGGACTCATGTGAATTTTGACCTTCCCTCTTCAGTAATTTCTACATTCTTTTCCCATCTCATAACTCCAGGACCCAGGCTTGCCACCACCGGACTAGGACATATTTCAAATTCTTCCCCGTGGTCTGCAACATCTTTTGTGCTCTGACCTGTCCTGACCCTCCCAGGGCCTTGGCCCCCTGAGCCAGTGCCTGGGTCGGCATCCAGCACAAAGTAGGCATTCCATAAGTGAGGCCATTTCTATCATGAATGGAACAACCTCTGCGGAAGTGAGTGGATGCCCGTGCAGGGGGCAGGCGCCATGCGAAGTGTTTATTGTCCATTATCTCCCCATAGCCTTGCATACGTACAGTTACTCCCACATTACAGAAGGAGAAACTGAGGCTCAGAGAAGTGAGATTGACTTAGTGACAGAGACAGCTTCAGATCTGAGTGCATCTGCTTCCACATCCAGGCTCTTTCTGTCACCGTGAGAACGAACGTTAACTGGGGGCTTTGTTCATCCCAGGCAGGGTTCGAGTGCCTTTTACGCATCAACTTATTCCTGGCGTCACCTTATAAAATGGGTGCTATTCTCATCCCTCTTTAACAGGTAGGGAACTTCAGGACACACAACTGGGCGAGTGATTTGACCCCATCCACACTGACTCTGGAGCCTGCTCTTGTAACCAGGTACGGTCTAAGGCAGGGGTCCTCCAACTTTTTAAACAGGGGGCCAGTTCACTGTCCTTCAGACCGTTGGAGGGCCGGACTATAGTTTAAAGGAAACTATGAACAAATTCCTATGCATACTGCACATATCTTATTTTGAAGTAAAAAAACAAACAGGCAAAACTCCCGCATGTGGCCTGCGGGCCGTAGTTTGAGGACGCCTGGTCTAAGGTTTAAGTTAAGGCCCAATATTATGCGCTTCCTTGACAGCTGGCAAAATCAGAAGGGCCTCAGTGGCCTAACCACCAGCTCCCGTCCCCACTCTGCCCCTGCAGATAAGGTTCCCCAGCCAGACAGCCGTCCTTATCAAGGGACCAGCCACACTGCCCACTTGTCCCCAAGTAGGCACTTGCAGCCCTGCCAGCCTGAGGAATTACTCAAGGGAGCCAGTCACAACCTCCCGCAGAAACCGGGAGACACTGCCCCTCTTGTCACTACACAGCCTGCCTCCCACAGCCCCTGGTCACTCACTGTGCCCTTGAGTGTCCCTGCATGGCAGCGTCCTCCTCCCCTGGGCTGTGAGCGCCTGCGACTCATGGAGATGGCCGTCGATCTCCACTGTCCAGTGTCCGGGGCGGTGTCTTTAGCCATATCCACAGTCCTAAAATGGGAATCCCTCCCTCACCGACGGGGCGAACAGGAGTCAATTAGAGCCCTGGGGAGAACGAGGTAATCAGAGTCAAAACAAAGATCAAAGCTTCACTTTGGAACAAGACGCATATAAACCAAGCCTGATGGTCACCATTCATTCGTTCACCTATCACATATCTGCTGAGCACCTGCCACATGTCACACGCCGCGGTAGGGACTGGAGTCCCCCAGTGAACGAGACAGACAAGGCCCCTGACCTCACAGAGCGTCACTTGGGAGGGAGCGGGTGAGCAAGGGAACAAATGAACACGTACTTTGGTGGCAGGTTGTGTCCTCCCCTCACCAAGCCCAGGGTCCCACGGAAGATTCCCAATCGGAATTACAGGCCCCCAGAAGACGGATATGATTCCAGCTGGGCCACCATCTTCATTGGCTTCCGGTAGCAGGAAAGTTCTGGAAGGAACAAGAGTAAGTTTGCCTTCCTCGCTCGCTTTGTTCCAGAGCCTCTGTTTGCTCCTTAGCTCCATGGCCCCCTTGGTAGGGCCCATTCCCTGTGCCCTGCGTCCCCTGTTCCTCTCCCAACCTCCCCTGCGCGGCAGCCACTGCCGTCTCCCGGTCAGACCCGCTGGCCCTCCCGGCGGGCCCGCAGTGGAGGGTCCACACAGGTGGCTTAAGGAGCGAGAAGTCAGAGAGCTTCCCCCAGCAACTCTTTGGGGAGCCAACATGCCCTTAGTGGGGCTAACTTTTTGGATTTTTACTTTAAAAATCCCTTGAGTATGGAATTGTCTGAGTGGTACTGTCTAATTCAAGGCTTTATCCTCAAGTCCCAATTTTTACAGGCAAATATGGAGAATTCCAGAGGGTTACCTTCTAGCCACCATGCAGGGGATTCCAAAGCATTATCCTTGGGGGAAGAACAGGGGTCAGGTCCGCACAGAGTGACGCGCTTGCTGGCGCAGCCTTTGGCTTTCTGACTGATGTCTCCTGGAAACTGAGTCACGACAATGTAGCGGCCCTTCTTTGCTGTGTGTTGTGGTTGGAGGGTTGAATTGTGCCCTCCCCAGGTAGGGTGGGTTCCGAGAGAGAGAGAGAGAGAGAAGCTGCCCTGGTTCTCTAGCACAAGCAGCTTTTATGGCAAAGTGAAAGTAAGTCCCAGAGCGAGAGAGAACAGGTCTGTCCCCATGCGTGGAGAAGACCCTGAAGTCAGAGTTTAGACCGTACAGTCCACTCTCAAGGTCAGCAGACAGCGGACTGCTCCAGTAAAGAACAGCGTCACCCCAGGGTTAGGGTCTGTCCTTTAAACTAAACCCTAACGATATGCTAAACTGGGGGTGGAATCTTCCTGTCTTTTGGGGGGAAGTGGGTGGAGAGCCCCAGAATCATGTACCCTCCCATTTTCTGTCCTCATAGGGCTGGCTCCGGAACAGTCATGGCTCTAGGGGGTGCGGGTTTTACTATGCTAAGGAGGGAAAGTAGGTGAAAAGTTCACCTTAGGTTATAATCTCCACTTTCTGCACACACTCCCGTTCAGGAAGGTCCCTAATCTCAAAGTCACTGCTGTTGTGTTTTCTACTCCTTACCCTCATGGGTCCATGCCACCTGCATACCTTCACCCCTACCTAACACCCCCAAAAGATATGTTTCCTTGGAACCTTCTTTGGGAAAAGGGTCTTTGCAGATATAAATATCTCAACATGGCACCATCCTGGATGATCCAGGTGGGCCCTAAATCCAATGACACCTTTCCTTGCAAGAGGAAGCTTGAGGGCAATTTGAGACACAGACAGAGGAGAAGGCGATGTGACGACAGAGGCAGAGGTTGGAACGATGGGCCTACAAACCGAGGAACACAAGGCCGGCAGCGAGTCAGGAGGCAGGCGTGGTGCAGACCCTCCCCTACAGCTTCTGGAGGGAGCCAGGCCCCGTCCACACCTTGATTTTGGACGTCTGGCCTCCAGAACTGTGAGAATAAATCTGTGTAGTTTCAATCCACCCAGTTTGTGGTCCTTTATATGGCAGCCCCAGAAAACTCAAACACGGGGTGAGGACAGCCACCACCGTCCACCCCATCCCCCCCCTGCCCCCCGTGAGCTCTTTAGGAAACCCACGTGCCATTCCTTGACCCGAATCTTTATGGATCTTGGAAGTTTTTCTGTTTTCACAAGATGCATATTAAAACCATTAAAAAGTTGAGTGGATATTAATTTTGGAAACATGGACAGCTAGCAAAATAGGAAGAAGCTACAGGCATGGGACTCCATTCAGATGTCAGTAGGGAGCCCAAGGTGGAGGTCAGGGGCCTGACAAGGAGGGGAGGCGTGGGCAGAGGTCACCTGCTGGACTTTTACGTAGCTCACAAACACACACATGCACATGCGTGCACATACAGTCTTAGTAGAGCAAATTATTTTAGACCCCAAACTGTGCCCTCCATTATCCCCAAGAGCTGCATGCACCTTTATGGGCTCTCACAAGCAATGACTGTTTAATGCGCAGCTGATGCGCCGACCGCAGCTGCGGCTCCCCGGAGACACGTGCGGGGGCCGGGGCGCTGTCAGCCTTCCCTAATTAGATGCTCTGGAACACGGATCTGCTACTGACGGCTGCGGCTGCCTCAGTTCTGTGAAACCGCCCTAGCGATTCAGTTCAGCGGGCACTTTTGTTTATCCACAGACCATCAACAGAAGTTAGCCGAAATAATTTAAAGAGGCAGTTATGTGCTTCTGGCAAAAAGTGAAAAATCTAAGAAATCAGCATTTCATGGCTCTTAGCTAGCTGGAGCCAAAAATACGCTGGGCTGCAGTCTGGAGTCTGGCTTCCCTCCGTCTGAGGTTGACTGTGCGTGCTTTCGAGCTGCGGCAGGACCCCGGGCAGGCCTCCTGGGTCAGGAGAGCTTTGGGTGGGGGGTTGGGCACCGAGAACAGCTCCTGCTCCTGCCTCAGTGGGCCACTCCAAGGCGGGGGTAAGGAGAAGCTGACTCTCTGCTGGGAAAGGTAGTACAGGTGTCGGGGGGCTTTTTAAATGGGGTGGCTCCAGGCTAGAGGTGGCCATGAACAGGGAATATTCCACAGTCTGTGGCTTTGGCCAGGTGTAGGATGACAGGGCAAACCCCAGGCCACCTGCACTCATCGGCCTGGTGTGTTCTGGACTCCCAGAAAGCAGAGGCAGGCAAGAGACCCATCAGTAGGTGGAACATTCTAGAAGCCCCACACAGCCAAATATGCTTTTGGATAAAAACACACACGTGAAACCAAAACAAATCTGAATATTTGCATAGATATTGATGACTCCCCACCCCCCAGTCAAAATAGGTGTTTGGAAAGAAGGTCGTAGACTGGGCTTCAAGGAGAGGGCTGCCCGGGGAAGCGAGAACCGAGAGCATGTGCAAGTGAAGGACGGCCGGGCCGCACGGGCAGTTAGAGTCTACTTGGGGTTCACCGGAGCCCCTGCAGACCACACTGCTACCGATTCTTCTGCTCGCCTTGGAAAGGCCAGAGGGCAAGCGTTCCGCCAGGATGTGGCACAAGACTCCACATGATTTTCAGGGACTGGCGAAGTTGAGCCCAGTGTCACCCTCCTGCATCTCTGGGAGCTCTTTGTAAACCTGTGTTTGTCTCGAAGGCTGATCTGTGTTGCAGGGCAGAGGCCCTGACCCGCAGAGCAGCAACTTTCGTGTCAAAGCCTCAGAGACGCTGGGGTTGGAGACATGTCAAAAGATGGGGCAAATAATCTGCTACAACAGAAAGGTTAAAAAAAAAAAGAAAAGAAAAAGAAAACCCTGTTGCTATGAGAAAGGAACAAATCACGGCTTCCAACTCCTTAACTGAAGGCTCATTTGACAAATTAACTTTGAACTTGATTTTTCAGAGGCGCTTGTTTCCTGTTAATTAAAAGGTAATCAGCCCTGGTTGTGCCGGGCCATGGCAAAGGTCTCCGCTTAAAAGCCTTCCTTGGCATTGCAAATATTTTGTCTGCACCAGATAAAAGCTGCTTTGGAACAGAAAGGTCATAATTTCCATGGTTTATCTTTTCGAGGGATGCTTACTGGGTGTCTTTTAAAGGAAGCCATCCAGAACAGATTGTGCAAAAAACCTATTATGGCCGAACTGGTGACGGTGATTTTGAGAGGACCTTCGCCCTAAATTATCAGTAAAGCGCTACCATCTTTGATGATACCCAGAAAAATCTACTTGAGTTTCCTCCTCTCCTGAGTCTAGCAGCAGCCGTTTACGGTGGACCTGCTAAGTGCTGGGCACTTTCCCTACATACTCTCCAAACTTTATCACAAACCTACCGTGTTTCCCGGAAAATATGACCTACCCATAAAATAAGCCCTAGCAGGATTTCTAAGCACTTGGGCAATATAAGCCCTATCCCGAAAATAAGACCTAGTGACGGGTATGGCTATGTAGCGAATCTGCACAACCCATGCATTTTCTTCGCAGAGCGGTAAAGAAGACGAGCAGCCCTTCTCATCTGCCCCATGAGAGCTCTAGTGCTCGACATGAGAGATCGGGGCCAATGGTTCTAAAGGAAATAGGTCGGAAGAAATTCAGGAAGGAATTCAGAGTTTGGAGAGTTACGATGATGTTCCAGAAGAAGACGACTTAACCATATTTGAATAAATGTGGATTGCTGTACCATAATTTAAAAAAAAATCACACATCCCCTGAAAATAAGCCCTAGGGTGTCTTCTTGAGGAAAAATAAATATAGGACCCTGTCTTATTTTTGGGGAAACATGGTACAAGATGGATATTGTTTTCCCCTAATCTACAGAGGAAACACTGAGACTTAGAGATGGTGATCTATTAGCTTAGTTGCAGAGGCAAGACCGGAAACCAGACTCCTCCAGCTCCTACACTCCGGGCGTGTGGGACACAGGATTCCTCATTTAAATCCGCTGGGATTGTCCCCACCTGCTGAAGTTAGGTCTGATGCAGAGTCATTCAACTGAACTCAACTAGCCAGGCACTGACTATTAGCAAATAACAACACAGTTTTTAAAAGAATAAAAATTAGGCTTTGGCAGCAATGAGCTCAGAGCACTTTAGAAGTTTAAGGCTCCTCCTTGCTCCTGAGTTACTTTCAGTATCATTTGAGCAGACACCAGTTTTAGGAACCAGCACTGGGAATAAGTGAAAGTAGGTGGAAGTGAGGTCAGTAGATTGGTCACAGCGCCCAGCATGAGCTGTGGAGTTAGAAAGCACTGGCTTCAAGTCTTAACTCCGAGCCTCAATTTTCCCATCTGAAAATTGGGATGATAATAACAGTAACTATCTCAAGGAGTTATGAGTATTAAATGCATTAGTGCCTAGGAAATAATGCATTCATTTAAATCACTGAGTTCAGTGCTCAACACGTGTTTATTTAACGAATGCCAGTTATTCCTACTGTGGTCAGGTGTCCTCATTAAAGAGTCATCCATTCGGCCTTGCGAACTTCAGGATCTGTGTGAGTGTGCTCGGTACAAAAACAAGTAGCTCTGCAGAGCTGGCATGTAAGCGACTCTCAGCCTTGACTACTTTAGTAAACACCAATTGACCGTCACCACAGAACCCTGTGGCATTGGGAGGTGACACGGGAGAGAAAGCAGGCAGGGAAGGAGACCCGTGGATAGAGTGTGGAAAACTCAAAGAGGTGGCTGTCCAGGCTCAACTCCCCTGCTCCGAAATTTTACCAAGGGCCAGCCCATGGACAGTTAGTCTTTACCTATTCTTGTGAAAGTTGGACTAATTCCATACTATCAATAATGATCACACTAAAATAACAATGATGGCGATAATAACCAGTATTTGTCAAGTGCTTATTGAAAGCTCAACTCTGAGCCAGGAAGACTCACGTACAGGTAATTTTGCTTGGCATGGTGTTATACCAATTTCTTTCCAGTAAAACTACATTTGTTCAGAACTCAGTTGCAACACAACAGTGAAAGGCAGTGGGGGTTTTGCTCACTCTGATTCAGAATCTCCCCAGTGTGTGACCCTGGTAGAGGGCACGGTGGCCATGCCACCCTGACAGCTGCCCTGTGGGCCTGGGACTCCCACCCAGCCCTCGAGAAGCTCCTGCCCAGGCTTCACGGTCAGGAGTGTGCCCCAAGGATGCTGGGATGGTGGAGATAGTTGCTCATGGCGGCTGACACACGGAGGCAGATGTCTGGTGGCCACATGGGGCATCCAGCGGTAGCCACCGTGCCAACAGCAAGGTCCAGACAGGCAGACCCTTGGCTCCATCCCTGCTGCTGGACCTGCCGTGGTGGTCACTGCCCTTCCTCTGAGTCAGGTTCTCCAGTTATCCTTTCAGTTCTGGAACCTTCCAGCACATTCCTCTCTGCTTCCGTGGGTAGAGGTGGCTTCTGCATTACCCTAGAGCTTTGGACAATGCACTCACCTACCATACGGTTTCCAAGCTCAGGAATCAGATGGATATGGTAATATCTTGGCCAACAATGCCAACATCTGGGCCAGCAACGCCACGAGGTTTAAACCCCATGGGCAGTGTCCCTCCTTGGTGCGGTGACTAGTCTACATTTTATTGAGAGCCCCCTCTATGATAGTTATCCAAGATGGTTTGTCTTTGAACAAAGAGAGCCCACTCTATGACAGAGCCACTTGCTCTTACTTTGAGCAAGTCAATCATGCTTTGTTCCTCAGTCTTTCCATCTGTGGAACGGAGCTAAAATTCATATCAATCGAGAGCTCCCTCTATGATAGTTATCCAAGATGGTTTGTCTTTGAACAAAGAAAGAGAGCCTGGGATTTACGTGGGTCTTAGTCAGCAATTGAAATGTGTGCCGGATTTCACAGAACCAGCTCTTTCTGAGAAGGTCTAGATGCCCACTCCAGGACACACGGGACTCACTATAATTATGACGCAGCCAGACCCTCATTCTAATTTTTCAAAACATAATTGTAATAATTGATCTAAGTGACAAAATAGATGGGCTTTGGCTTTATGATCCAACCGCAGGAAAGGGCCGATGAACAGCGAGGTGCAAATTCATTAAGCCTTGGCCTTCATAGACATGAAAAGATTCAACTTCTCTAAAGAACAGTGCCAGCCAGGGATCACCAAGAAATCTCTGCTCATATTTGAAGAA